AAGAGCAGGTGGGGGTCAGGGGGCACTCGGGGGCTGGAGGAGCAGGCAGGGGGTGGGGCCTAGCAGGGTTCCCCACATGGTCCCCTCCCCCCATCTCCAGCCCCTCCTCCCTTGACCCCTCCTTACCAGCATGGAATTCAGTCCAGCTCCCTGCTGCAACAAGCAGGGACTACCCAAATCGCCGAAGCTCTTCAAAACTTTTCCGAATCAATTTGGAGAGCTTCAACTCAATTTGCACCTTTTAATTGGTCTCCTGATTCGATTTGGATTTGGAGATTCGGCCACTGAATCAGGCCAAATTTCCTCCGAATTGACTCAGCACCTGAAGCTTCACATAGCCCTAGTGCTTTGTTTTTTATTTGTGCTTATTGAGTTTTAGGTACAGCAAGTACTCTTGACACAAGAAAATAGGGGCCCAATAGCCAGCTTTTTGATGTTGTTATAACATTCTTTCAAATCCATGGGATGAAGCATCTGCTACAATATGTGTTTCTTGTGCCAGCTCATATTGGGCTAATATCAGGGATAAGCTGAGTACTGATTTGATCTCACTGAAGGCTGATTGTTGTAATGGACCCCAAAGCCATATGTCCTTGTCACTTAAAAAGTCTCTTCAAGGTTTTGTTATTGTTGCCAGGTATGTGACCATTCCCAAAAATCTACATAATTCTAGGACATCCTTGGATTCTGTAAACCCTTAATAGCTGCAACTTTTGCTGGATCTGGTTGGATTCCTTGTGGTATGATCTAATGCCCCACAAACATGAGCTGAGAGATAGCAAAAGCACACTTTTCATTAAGTGCAACTCCAACTTCTTGGAGTTTTCTGAGTGTTGAATCCAGTCTTGTAACATGTTGTGTCTTGGTGGCCCCAAAAACCAAAATGTCATCAGCATGACAAAGAACACCTTCTAGGCCATCTAGTATCTGTGACATCTGAAGGTAAAATAATTCAGGAGCTGCTGAGATCCTGAAAGGTAACTGTTTAAATTGTCCAAATGGAGTAATAAAAGCTTGGATGATTCAACAACTGACAGAATCCTTCCCTAGCATTGAATTTTGTAAAGACCTTGGATCCTACAAGTTGAGCCAAGAAGTATTCCAGTGAAGGAAGAATATGTCTATCTCGGCACGTGTGTTGAGTAGTGTGAGGCCAACACACATTCTAATCTTACCACTGGGTTTTGGCACAACCACCATCCCAGAACACCAAAAAGTAGGTTCTTCTTTGTAATTACTTTTTTTCTTCCATTTGTGCTAGCTCTTCTTTTACTTTGTCCATTAGCAGTAAGGGTTCTCATCTTGGTGTAATTAGTGCATATAGAAGTGTATCAGCTTTTAGATGTATCTACATTCACCTGACATTTTTCCAAAACCTGAAAAGACAGATGGGCATTTGGTTCTGTAGTACTGCTCCAATGATTTTTGGTCCATTATTTCATCCAATTGATGGGTAAGTTGTAGTGCCTGTGTGGGCCGGTAAGCCAAGGAAAGGCACAGCAAGATTACAGATCATGTAGACTTCCTGGTTTATAGTTTTCTAGTTCAGTATCAGTTTTGCATTGAAGGACACCAGTACTTTGAGGGTAATGTCACCAAGTCCCCATAACCTTTTAGTAGGAGGAAAGAGGATCCCATCACTATGTTGGCTGTAGTAAGTATCAGATGTAGCTGAAACTGCTGTTTCTGTATCAGTTGTAAATGGAATTGACTGTCCATTGAGCTCTGTTTCTGTCATCCAGACTCCTGGGGCTGATGAAGACTCTGTAAGTTCTTTTAATAACACAGTACAATCCTCTGAGTCCTGTTCTGTGACTTCGTGGACTCCTGTGGTTGAGCACCAAACTAAAGCGTAGGGACCTTTCTTTTTACATTGTCAACATATCTCTTCCTTAGGACACATAGCATAATGATGTCTAGGGATTTTACCACACCTGCAGCATTGTCTCCCTTTCCCACTTGGTTGTTGCTGTGGGTGCCAGTGGGATAATTCCCTTTATTCATTGTGCATGTGAATTCTATTTATTTTTGGCTCTGGTTTTGTAACAGTGTGCATTGCATCAATATTAGCAGATGCCCGATAGGGCTTGGAATTACTTCTGATTTTTCTTTGTTGCTGCTTACCTAACTCTGATTAGCGGGCTTATGTGACAGCCTTCTGGAGTGTTAAATCAGGATTCAACTGTCATCTTTGTGAGGGCTCTTCATTGTGAAGACTCACAACTAAGCGATCCCTTATTAGTTCTTCCTTGAGCTCCCCGTATTGGCAAGATTCAGGCAATGTATGCAAAGATGTGATAAAGCTGTACATAGGTTCTGAAGGCTCCTGTTCACAGAAACTGAATTTAGCTCATTCATAAATTACATTTCTTTCACCCAAAACATGTTCAGTTAGTGCCTCTACCACGTCATCATATTGCTTTCTGTCTACATTTGTAAGAGACAGTGGCATCAGAATTTCATTGGCCTTATCCGCCATTGAGTAGATGAGAAGACTTACTTGGTAAGGTTCAGACCTTTTGTCCAGACCTGACACTTCCCTGAAGTGGTTAAAATGCCTGGTCCATAGACCACGTTCCAATCTAGGGGACTGGAAATCAAAGTGTTTTGGTGGTGTGACTTTAATTGTCTGTATTGTCTTTGTAGCCAGCCTTTGCCCTGAGCTAGACCCAGCTGCTGCCGGAGCTTGGTCTGTCGTTTGGGAATCACCTGATTGCCGAGTCATGTTTGTGTTCCTGTTGGTAGCAGGATTCAGCCACTTCCGACACCATGTGCTATCTCATAATTCAGGAAAAGACAAGGAGACTTGTTGCTCTCAAAAGGACTTTATTGCAACTCCTAACACACACCCAAAGATGGCTGACAACTTCCTGTTGATGTCACCATGTCAGCCCTCTGGATGGGAGTTAAGCCTTACTACTGCAGTGTTATCCCATTTAAAATGTCACAAAGTATGACTAGCTTTTGTTTGTGACAACTTTTTTTGGCACTTGGACAGTGACAAAAGGCCAGGACATCGATTTCTCGCAACTCATGTTGCCATAACGATTTTTATAGTGACACATAGGCAACATCTGTTTGCATCCTAACTGCCATGGTTTTAAGGCTCTTGTCTATGGGCGCTTTACACAAGCAGTGACGCTGCTCCGATGTGCTGTAATTACCATGCTCCAGCAGACTTGATTAATCGAGCTGTAAGGCTCGATTAATCAAGTCTGTTGGAGCATGGTAATTACCATGCTCCAGCAGACTCTGGTGTCTTGGGTATCACTGTCCCTGCACATAAAAATGTGGGGCTGCTTTAACTGAAGCTCATTGAACAAGCTTTAGTTAAAGTGCCCCTGTGACTATTTTTAAGCACATGCTGATACACAAGATGTTCCAGGCACTTTAATTAGAGTGACTCTCAGAGCTGCTCTAATTAACACCTCCCCCCCCCCCACCTCCCCAGCCACTCCTGGAGCACGTGCCTAAATGCCTTATGTTCCCCAGTGAATGTACATACATGAGGCAAAATACCAATCTTACTGAAGTCAATAGAGCTGAGATTTCAAACACAGTGCTACAGTTAGGAATAATGGGTCTGATCCTCCTTTTGCTTACAGTAGATATAACCAGCAGTGTAACAATGGGTGGGCAAGGGGAGCATGAGCTCTGCGTGCTGCCTGTTGGGGAGTGCCAGAATGCAGCTGGGAGAGCACCTTACCTTTCCATCCCTGTCCCCCACTTTTCTTTCACATCCTGCACACTCCCTGCAGCACTCTGACTTCAACAGCATGAAGGGCGGAGAAGCAGCAGCGGTGCTGCTGGGAGAGCTATCACTTCCTTTTTTGCCACCAAAAATCTTTTTTTTTGGCAGCTCATCACTCATGTTAGTGATATAAAAAGGAGGTGACGCTCCCTCTGTAGCAGTGAATGCCCAGCTGGTAAAGAGTGCACTACCACTGCCCAGGGGACAGTACCGTCCAGTTATGCCTCTGGAGCTAACCCTGGTGTAATATAATTGATGCAAGTAGAGTTACTCTTGATTTACACCAATTTCACTGAAGATGGCTTCCATCTTCATTAGTGTTCCATAAAAATCTAATGCCACCAATGCCAAGGATGCATTTTTCAGTCCTGTAACTTCAGTGGAAGCACAAATAAAATTAACACAGACTTACATTAGAGCTGTTTGAGTTGGGAGAGGAACTTCAAAAGAGCTGGGATTACTTGGCGGTCCCCCTGCTGGAAGGACCTACTGAAAATAAAAATACATCTGAGAAAATTCACATTCTTTGGGGCCTGTTCTCCCCATCTTGGAATAATAAGAGCTCAGGGAGCAGAGATCTACACAGACTTCTCACCTCCAGGGGAAAGTGGTGTAGTTCATTGAGGTGGTAAATTAAAACATAAAACTGATCCTGAAATTTTGAAGGTTTAGGAACCAGGTGACTGCTGCATAAGCAAGAAGACAAGGAGAAAACAACCCTTGTTCTTCTGGTGTCTGGCATGTGTTTGGTTTTGGCAGCTATGTATATTGTGTAGTCTCAGATCATGTGTGTTGCAGAAGTAGGTTGCATTTTCTCTCCATTAAGGAAATGCACGGTATTTACTCTGCTTAATCAATCAGCATAAATAAATACTTACCTCCCATTATTAAACAGTTGTGTTGATGCATTCCATTCACTTACCTTCCAAAACCTGAAGGCCTAATGCATATTTCTTAGCCATTTTTCTAGTCTGCAAAAAACATAATAGGTTTTCCCTTGAACTGTTTTTGTGTGTATGTCTGTGCTGTGTGCTTACTTCACACACTGTCACCTCCCATTGTGGAAAGATGGTAAGGGCAAGCTTCCAAGCTAGACAGGCAACCAGAATAGAGATGGTATGTATGCGCTGAGAGAGCCACTCCAATATAAGAGACTGAGTACCCTGGTTTGAGGAAAGGGAAGAGGGTACACTATCTGGGTTTCACACCAAGCATGCTGTTGCAGGGATTCCTTATTGAGACTGAAGGGCATTCAGCCTAAAATTCTTTCTGGCTCTGTCACTCACAAACTGATTTATTTCAGCATGGCCTGGCTAGTATTGCTACACTAAAAGTGACTTCCAGAGCCTGATGAAATTAATGGCAAAGCTCCCACTGACTTCAACAGTGTCAGAATTTCACTTATAGTCTCTATAGGTCCTGGATAAGACTGAGAAGTCAGAGAAGGAACTCTTAATTAGAGCTGGTTAGGAATTTCTTGGCAAAACATTGTTTGTTAGAAAATGTCACTTCATGAAAATCCAAATTGTTTGCAAGCAAGAGTCAGGTTTAATTAAATTCCTGATTCAGAAACTTTAAAAAAGGTTGGAAAGTCCTTTTCAGACATTTCTAAATTACAGGTTTCATTTTCATTATTTAAAAAAATATATTTTTTGTTTAGAAATTTAAGTTAATTTATGGTAAAACATTTTAAATAAAAACAATTATCAAAAAATAACATTTTGATTGACTCAATACAGTCTTTTTTTCAGGTGATCAATTCCTCCCACCAAAAAAACTGCATTTTGATTTTTCCTCTTCTTTTGGAGCGGGGACAAAAATGCAAAAGTGAAGTCTCATGGAATAGGAAAGCCATTACTCAGCCAGTTCCAATCTTGATTATGCTCCAAGTAGTGGTGTCTTCAGTGACAGACTCTCAATATTTTGGTAAGGATACTATCCACCTCCCACAACAACATTCTTTTACTGAGTGATGCACATGTGCTTTTAGAAAGTATTTGGGGTCCTAGAAATGCATGTTATTTGTTTTCGCACTTGAAAAAACAACATTATCCAACAACTATTACCTTGGTTAAGCAAATACAATTACTATCAAAGGTAACTTGACCAGACCTGCTTATGACTTCCTGCATGAAAAATATCCTGTTGATATATTATATTGTCCAGTTGGGCAATTCAAGATAAAAGTAATACACAGAAGGTTTTAAAGTCCCATGGTATAATGGAAAATTTAACTCAAAGAATTAGCTTCTTGAAATAAAAAAAGAGAAATGTCTTTATTTGCCATAATTGTCTTTATGATACTGAATGTCACCCTTGACAATCCTTTGCACTTGTTTTGTAATGAACAAGGGAAGTCATCTAACTAAAAGAGATTGATACCTAGGGTATAAATTTTCAGGCCATTCCAATCCCACTGGCATGTTATATATTCTTAGAACTACTGGAACCATAGTTTCCACTTGGGTGACTGGCCATATAGTTATGCAATCATCACCTGCTGTTACTAAGTCTATAATATTCCTCTGACCTATAAAGATAAAAATATCCTGATAACAATAATAATAAAACTTACATGAAGTGACAAACAGTACCACAGCCAGAAACCGGTATGTATGGGAACTTAAGCCAGAAGCAATGTAGGGGCAATTGCCAACTGAAACAAGATGCATGAAGTGCACTATTCTGGGTCGACTGTTGTCCTGTGACCTTACCCCAGTTTTCTTCTCTGTTTTCCTCCTCCTGAGCTACTGAAGTTATGAAGACGAAAATAGAGCTTGTGCAAGTTCTAACCGAGGCCAGATGCCAGATCTCTGTGGGGATTTCTGTGTATTACAAAGCAGTGCCTTCTGAAAAATTATACTGGCCTGTATCTGCCTGTCAGGTCTTTCTTTCAAGGCTAAAGTACCCATGACTGGCTGAAAAAGAGTCATCTAAAGGAAGGACATCATAGGCAATGCTGAGCACCATTAGACACAGATTTATTTTCCTGATAATTAATTAGATCCTATCAAACTACAGGAAGCAATGCGTACAGTAATGGCTTTTATGCCATTTCCTTAGAAGAGCCATTTTGAGATGGCTGTCCTTTCACTGAAATTATACCTTTACAGTTGAAATTTTAGCATATGCACCATGGAATTCAACTGAGGGAGAGAGCAGGGTGGGTGATATTTGAGTTGTCATAGCTCAGTCAATTTTAACATGAAGAAAGGAAGTGAAAAACATATGCTGCAGCCACCACAGAAAATGTTTGTAACCTTTTCAGCGATAGCATTGCACTACAGTGCTTGGTGTTAGGATACCTGGAAATGCAGGCATTTCAGATCAGCTTTTCAGCTGATGATAAGTCAGCATAGCTCTACTGAAGTTGATGGAATTCTGCTGATTTATGCCATGCATAGCTTGGTCCAGTGAAAAATGACCTTAATTTGGCTGCTTCATAAGAACCCCACAAAAGCTTACTTCATGCATACATGTAGGCTCTGTTAAACTCTAAGACTAATGCTCTATCAGTTTGCAGTATGCATGAGTGTATATATACAAAAGGCATGGAAACTTCCATTAAAGATACGAAGTCATAGAATGATAGTGGATTCTCCAAAACATATATAGGACAGCTGACTGGAAAATCCTCTTATATGTAAGATGGTCTGTGATGATGAGCAGCACACTGCAGGGCCTTGAAAGATCCTTTGCTCTCTCCCTACAAATTAGAAAGGTCTTGTATATAGAAGGAGGTGAGGGCTCCTTCCTTCTTGGTTGCTGACATTATACAGTGCAGAGCATTCTATGGTTATTTCATTAACATCATAAAATCAAATGTATTTGTCCCTTCAGTTTTCTTTAGTAAAAATGTAGAGAATGCCATATAAAATGTTACTTAAAAGAGCATTAAGCTTATGAAGTTTGACATATAATGAGCCTAAGCTGATTGCTAGCACCCACTAGGATTGTCAGAAAAACAAGCCAAGATTTTATTTTGGACAAAAGAAGACAGCTCTGAACTAGAAAAGCTGTTGTCTCCATAGACATGTATCTAAATTTGTGTTTGCAAATAAGAGTACTCAGAGAGCTGGTGTAGATGGGTAATCGAAGTGGCCCTAGATCAGACCCCTGGGGAACTCCTGTGTGAAGCTGTAGAGGAGCTGAGGAGTGCATGGCAATTAGAGACACAGAAAGAGAAGCAGAAGAGAGAAAGACAAGATTTCAAGACAAGAAGTTACTCGTTTTGGGACAAATTTTAGAACACCTTTAGTCACCAAAATGATGCAGATAGCTTCCTAGAGGAACCTGAGAAACACCTAGCCCCCTATCTCCCATTGAGTTCAATCGGAGTAAGGCACTTTGATGCTTTTGAAAATGCTTAGACATGGATATGCATCTTGATGCCTAGCACCTTCCAAATTCTGACCCTTCTTAACTACTGAATGCTATACTTCACGAATGCAGTGTTATTTCCATACACATTTTGTTGTTGCTGCAGATTTATAGGTATAGATATATAAGCGAGGCAGTCAAAGGGAGACCTTATTTTGAAATGACCCTTATGAGATTACTGACTGTAAGAGGAACCTGCATGCTTTAAACCACATTCTGAGACTTGGACTGTGCTAGTATTTTACCAAATGGACACCTCTTTGGAAACTAGTCTTGATTTAATTTGTGAATTTTAGTTGCTATTGAAGAAACCTGGTGGCTTTTCTGCTTGTCTTATCATACTTTATTCTTGCCCCAAAGCTCGACTTCCTAAGCATGTTAATGGGCTGCATGCCTTTGTAGTGAGGGAGAACAACAGGAGAAAAGGAATTAAGTTAGTATTACTGCAGCTGCCCCTGCAGAAAGCTAACTTGGGAAAACTGGTTTCCTCTAATTTCCAGATGGAGTCTTTACAAGCTAGTAAAGGTGAAGGGCGCGCCCCTTATGCCATGATTACGACAGTTCTTGCCCTTTCTTTTTCTTTCTATTTTCTCTTCTGTTTCCTACAGTCCCTTCTTAGCATCTGATGCAGTAAGCTGCTGTTTATGAAAGCTTATGCATCTCTGATTTAATTAGTCTACAAGGTGCAGATCTACCCTGCCTTCTGCCTATTTTCTCTGCTGCCCTTTTCAGCCCCTGCTATCCCTGGCCTTTCCATTTTCTGATCTTAGTAGTCGGAACAGGTCACACCAGCTCTTGAAACTAAGGCCAGGTACAGACATTACACTTTTATTAATATAGGTGATCGGAAACTGGTCTATACCCGTAACAGAACAGAAGTTCGGCATGCATATACTGGCTTAAAAATGGCAGAACCTGGTCTAAGATTTGCTCCCTGTTCCCCTCCCCCAAAAGGCAAATGTTCATTCTGTTCACTACTGGTCTAAACTACGCAGCTTACAGAAAACTGTGTAACTTAGATTGATTCTGCCTTGGGCTTTTTTTCTGCCCTGGGCTGTACCTAGGCTTAGTTGAGGAGAAAGATTGCAGCCTGTGAGCTTTTACTTCAGCCTACAGCTCATGAATAAATAGGAGCCATTCCAGAAGCCAGCTGCACTGGAAGCAGGGAAATAATATTGGTACCTTTCGAGGAGGACCTGCTGTCTTACCTACTGCTTTAGAAGTTCATTTGAAAAGGGTGGTGACACAATGCCATGCAGGTTTTTTTCCTTTTTCTAATATTCTCCTCCTTCCCATAAGTCCCCAGTGGATAAATCTAGATCAAATTAAAAAGCTGACTAAAATTGGAAAACTTTGCATTAGAGATTTAAAGTACAAAACATGGAAAGAAAAATGATAACTTACATAGCCCTTTACTTCACAGGATAACCGCGATTCTAAAATACCAGTTTTCCGCAAAGGCTATCATTAATTCATACCCATAACAGATGAGTTTAAGACTTCATTTGATCATGTTCAAATCATAATAATGAATATGAATGTCTTTTATTAAAATGATCTGAATGACTTGATTTTTAAAAAATTTTTTTAAACATTTTAATGTGAATATAATGCTTGTTATGTAAACATGGTAATACTTTTTTCAGAGTAATTAGGGATTTCCAGAATGAGTTTGTGGCTAAGGCAAGGCATGGGGTAGAACAGCTCAGTTCCCAGCTCCATCAGACTTCCAATGTGATCTTTAACAAGTCATTTGAGCTTCCTATGCTTCAGATCTTTGATTATAAAACAGGAATAGTAATACTTCTTTCCAAAGGTCTGTTGAGCATTATATTATTAATGTTTATGATTCTGTGGTAATGGAGACCATGTAAGCATAAGGGCAGATGGACAGTGAAAAATCATTAAGTTAATACTTTCTACCGGGTTTCTTAAAGCAGTAGATACATGCATCTGAATAACACGAGGGGAAAATCTACAAAGCATAATACTTAATGGAGTCCATTGAACTCAGGCAGCAGCCAGCTACTATGAACTTGCTGGAGGGCATTTGAGTGAGGAACACCACTTTTTGTAAAAGGATCTTCCTATAAATGTTAAGCAAACCATTTAAGTATTGTAATAGGATTGAAGCAAACTGATAACATTCCTTTCCCACATAATGCTCTACAGCTGGATGGCGTGCAGTATGCATTACTTTGTGTTGACTGAGGGCTTAATTGAGTCTTCTGGAAGTTAGAGCCCCTCCTGCTCTGTTACTGTGATGCTTAGGGTGCTTCACAGGATTATTCTATCCTATCTAACAGGAATAATCAGTTAGGGCTGTGCAAAGCTTCGGGTACTGATTTGATTCACAGGAGATTCGGCCTGATTCAGTGGCCAAATCTCCAAATCTGAATTGAATCAGGGGACCAATTAAAAGGTCTGAATCAATTCAAAGCTCTCCAAATTGGTTCGGAAAAGATTTGGAGAGTTTCGTCGATTTGGGCGGTTCTCGCTGGCTGCAGCAGGGAGCTGGACCTGGACTCCATGCTGGTAAGTAGGGG